TACAGTCTTGGATACTTTGAAAAATTCAAATTCTGAGGTTTTTCTCCTTAGTTGTCAACTATGGCCAATTCCCAACCATCATCAGTAGACCAGCTGTATTATTTTATCTGCCCTTGGACAACAGTGACGTAGGGTAACTCCCTGTCCAGTTTTGACACTGACAGTACTGTGTTCTAGAGACCTGTGGTTTCAGGCAAACTAGGCAGTTGGGGTAAATCTAGAGTTAAGTGGTTGATAGCAGTTGAGGTAGAAAACCATTTAGAGATATAAGAATGGATGAATCCAGTAGACATTGCTTTGGAGTGCTCTGTGTCTGGCTTTGGACCTGGCACTACCACCTACCTTGTCATCTTAGGCACCTCCCAGATCCTGTGAAAAATCCCAGAAAGCACAATGTTTTCTGGTTGATAGATGCTAGCTTAGTCTCCTACTTGTCAGCTCCTTCCTGTCTGCACATAACGGAAGTTGAGAAAGGGAGGACCAGGTGCCAGGACCACAGCCAGATGCCAGAGATGCAGACTGAAGGCTCAGGTTCCTTCCTTCCTGGACTCAGCCTAGTACCATCTGTCTGGCTACAGCACGGAGGAGGCTCTTAGGAACGTTCCTTTCGGACTTGTGCCTGGCCTATCTGCACACGCTGCCATTGGGGTGTTGAGGCGTGTACTGAGTTCCCTACAGAACAGCCAGTCTCACTTGTCTCTTTTTTCCCTCCCCTTTTGGACTCCCAGCTCCAACCCTTACTTGCAGCATAGTTGATAGTGATCATAACGTCTTGGACCTTAATTTATTATGAAACAGCAACAGTAATGATTTCCACCGAATAAGTTGTTTAGAGGATTGAGATAATTTTTGTTAGCACTTAGCAGAGTATCTACCACAGAGGAAACAAGAAATGGAGAGAGCAGGATGACTCCATTCTCCACATGGCAGAGAGTATCGGAGAGCATCTCTTTTTGTTCCTTTCCCCAGACTCGTTAGCATGCTGGAGAGAAATGCCAGGTCTCACTGCTGTGCCTTTGCTTGGGCTGTCTGCTACATAGTAGGTGCTTAAAAGTATTGGTTTATGACCTGGTGATGGTGCTGATGACATGACCCATCTCCCAGGACTAGAAAGCATAAAATAAGAAATGAATGGGAAAGGACAAAAGCCTAACACTTGTTATGCATTATTTGCTCAGTTGTCGTTTCTACTTACTAACTAGTCCAAGCACTTCTCCAAAGCCCAAGTGACTTATCTCTTAAATCCCTCTCCGTCTAGCACAGAAGCCCCCTAGTAGTTTAATTGAATGTGAGTGGCATAGGAAGATAAAGGAATCGGGGAGCTATTCCTAGGAGTCTAAAAGAGGGCTCATAAATACAGACTGGCGCTTCCTTCCTCTGGAACAGAAGCACTCATCTGTCCCTGAAAGAACAATCAAACAAACAACCCTCATCTTCTGAGGGAAAATAAAATTGGGCAAGGGAAAAGAAAGAAGGGCAGTGATAATGCTGTCATTGTGTAAGAGCAACTAGAGCTAGAAGCTAGCACATGGGCACATCTTCACACATCTTTGGGCTCGGACTGATACCATCTACCTGTAGCATGGAGGTGGTGTCTTTGATCACTATCAGTAAGAACAGTCAAGGAAATGTTTGGCATGGCCCAGGCACACCTGCTACGTAGGTTTGCCAGGTTGGCACAACATAAGGCTCTTTTCCAAAGCTGGGCTGTCATGCCAGGACTGAGGTGTGGGCTTGCTGGACAGCATGGGAAGGAAAGAAGTATCTGGGAGGTCTTTCTGCTCTGACCTCTCAGAGGATCTTCTTTTTAAATTTGTATTTGTAATTATGTGCATGTTTGTGTGTGTGTACATGTAAATGCAGGTACCCTTATAGGTCAGAGACTTCAGGTCTCCTGGATTTAGTTAAGGTGGCTCTGAGCTACCTGGCGTGAGTACTGGAAACTGAACTCAGGTTTTCTGCAAGAGCAGTACATGCTCTTAGCAGCTGACTCATCTCTCCAGCTCCATTTAAAACATTGTTTTGTTTTTAAAGATTCATGAGTCTTCTGTCACAGGCTCCTCTTTGTGTCACAGTGGTTTAAAAGAATAGGTCATGTGCAGTCATGTTGCCACAGCTCCTGATGCTGCTGAGGAGAGACTCCAGGATGATGACCTTGTTGTGTATCTGGCTCTTGACTTTTGAGGAATAGGCCTGTCTGACAGGCTGATCTCATGTGTCCTGAGTCTTGGGTTTAGGCAGCTCAGGGGTCAGCTTTTTTTCTTTTTCTTTTTCTTCTTCTTTTCCCCCATGGAGCAGAGACAGGTCTTAGGAGTGGTCACTGAATTTGCTCCCTAGCTCTGTGCGCCTGAGAGTGAAGGACCCAGCAGCAGGAGAGTGGATGCCAAGCCTCGGTGGGAGACCCCAGGCTGATTTCTCAGAGCCCACTGAGAAAGCTGATTCAGTTCTGGTAAGAGCAGGAGCTAGAGCACATTCTGTGTTATAATACTAATGAAATTCCAGATCTGTAATAGCATTTCAGATAGCTAAAACAAACCGTGTGCTTGTAAAAAAGTGGAAGGAGATCAACTTTAAGCCATACATTCTTGGTAATGGAGGTTTCTTCCTATTTATGTTTGATAGATACTTTTGTTTCCAGAGGAATGTCAACTCTTAATTTCATAATGTATCATAGGCTTAAGAAAATTGAATTTAATAAAAGCCAAAGATGAATGGCATCCTTAAAGGTCCCAACACTTGTCTTTATTAGCAGGACAAACTGCAGGTCTCCAAACACTGTTGCTTTCCAAATGAAAGTTTAAATGAAAAGTACAGTTGTGTCACAGGTTAAATCTCATTGCGGGTCTAGCTAACATTGTTAGAGAGTGGCTGTATTTGTTTCCTTGGACACTAGGGCAGCCAAACTCACCAGGCTGTGGAGCTTTCTGCTGGGGGAAGTATTTCTCCTACTTAGCAGGAGAGGAAGGATTTACTACAAATTCAGGAGTCCTAGGGGTGGCCTGAGTCATGAGCCACTCTTGGGAATTGTGGATGTGTGAATTTTTAGGAACGGCAGTGTATACGGTATATTTGTGTGAGTTCTCAGCTTAGTTTTCCATAGCAGAATTTCCCTCCATTTTGCCTGCTTTGTAGTTCTTTGTGGCAGCAAAGGCTAGCCAATTGGGGCAGTGTCTGTCAGCTGGCCTAAGAAGCAGTCTGGACCTTCTTGCCCTTGCCTTGCAACCATTTTGCCCCTCCTGTGTCTGGTAATAAGTTTCCTTCAGCTTCTTCATCTCTGGGGATCAACCTAGAGGGACCAAGTAAGCTCCCATCAGCTTTTCCATCTTTGGGTATTATCCTAGAGCTGATGGGTCTGGTCAAAGGACCCTTTCACAGGGTTCACATATCAGATGTCCTGCATATTATATGTTTACACATGGTTCATACAGTAGCAAAATTACAGTTGTGAAGTGGCAACAAAATAATTTTATGGTTGGGAGTCAAAATGAGGAACTGGGTTAAAGGGTCACAGCATTGGGAAGGTTGAGAACCACTGGCCCCAGAGGACCAGGCAGCCAGAGCCCTTGAATTTCGCTGATATGAAATCTAACTGCCTTGGTTTGTTTTTCAGCCATACTTTTTACTTTGGCTTGAAATAAACACTTACAAAATAAGTCCATAGTATTAGTGGATATATTTCACAAGGATGTCAGTTATTATCCTTGGGACATGAAGGCAATTAACAACTTTCTGTTTTCCCACCCACTGATTCCCTGAGTGTGGGCAAGAGTAGTCACCAGTGGTGATTTCTGAATTGCTTCTCTAGGCTGTCTCTGCTTTGGTTCTGATGAGGCTAGGAAATGTTCTCTAGAATGAGGTTCTGAGGTAGGCATACCCCTGGAGCTGATTGTTGGGGCCCTTATATGGGCAAAACTCCCTTTTTGTCTCTGCAGTGGAGGCTTTTTCACATGCTAATTTTACTTGGAAGATTTTGCTTTTATTTATTTTTTTATTATTTCCTATTTGTCTCTTCCAGATGTTTTCAGGGCAATTTTTTTTTTTTTTGTATGTGTGTGTGGGGGTGTTGTAAACTAATTCCATTCATGTTTTAAAAATTTATGAAAGCGCTAATAAAAATGTCAAAGTGGTAAAAATGTTAGCTTTTCCTCTGCTTTGATTAAATTTTGCAAACTGTTTTTGAATATTAAAAAGCAATATATTTTTTTATTCTCTCCCCTTGGTTTCCCTCTTCTCTCTGGTGCGCGTGCTCTCTCTTGCCCTCTCCCCCCCTCTGGTGCATCCCTCCCTTTTTAGGAACGATGTATGAGGCGTGCTGCACAGCCAGCGTTCTGCAAGCCTGTTTGCACACCAGGACCTTGGTGCTGTGCATCTCTATTAAATAACGGAGACAAATTAATCTTAGAGACACCAAACAAATTGTCACTCCTCCTCCTTCTCTTCCATTACCTTCCAGTGGACTGGGAAGGGCTTGCTAAGCGGTTGGGCGGGTAGAGGCAGGCAGAGGGGAGTGTGCAGTGCTTGGAGGAAAGGCGGGAGGTACTGGCCTCTATTAACTTGTGTTCTGTTTTCTTCTCTCTGATATCCCCTTTGGCTTTATTTTGGGGGTTTGTTTGTTTGTTATTTTTCCCCCCTCACAAAGCCCAGTGTCAGCGTTTAAACTTTATACAAGGAAATCTGTCCACTCTGCTGATGGCTGCGTGTTTACCTGAGATCCAGACATTTCAGGACAGCAGCCTAGGCAAGAGAGGAAGGCCTTTCTTTCTCCTGAGGCTCAAGTGATTGGGCCTCTGTGAGGGAAACAGAGTGCACTACTGTCTTCCTTCCCCAAAACGATGGGAGGCTTTAGCAGTATGAGCAGTGGGATTATAAATGTTGACATCACCTCTCAGTCTTGGGTTTGGGTTGGCAGGAGAAATGAGCCACAAGCACTCATTCTTTCTTGGCTTTGCATAGTTATTTCAAATGGTTGATCAAAATAACTTATCTCTTTGGCATTCTAGGAAATCATTGAGTTCCCCATCCTGAAGCTAAATGGCCGGACCATGGAGATCGAGTCTACCTTTCACATGTATGTCCAGCCTGTAGTCCACCCACAGCTTACCCCCTTCTGTACAGAGGTAAGGGCTGCTGGGAGAGGAGCATTGTGATTGTTAGTTCATGCAGGCCACTTAGGGAAAATGAGGTCTGATCTCTGGTTAAGGCAGGTGCCCAGCAACGGCTTTTCTCTTGACTTTCACTTTAGTCTGTGACTGCTCAAGTGCCTGTCTCCAGGGCATTCAAGATTTCCCAACATTTCTCTTTCTCTTTCCTTTTCCTTCTTGTCCTCAACATTCCTGGCAGCTGGACACTTAGAGTTAATCTGGGAGTAGTGTGGGACTTCTGGAACTGAGGTTCTTTCCAGCTCCATTTTCAGTGGGGCCTGTTGGCAAGTGGTGAGGATTTCAGCCACTTGGAAGGACTTGTTATGTTCAGGTTTTCTTAGCTGCCTAAGATGTTGCTGTTGCTCTGTCCTTCTGCAAAGTAAAGCATGACTCTCCTACCAAGGACAGAGAAGATAGGCTGGCCAAGGCTGAAGTGCCCTCCCTTATCTAGGTTTGTACGGTAGTTGCCTGCCTTTGTCTACAGATTAGCCTTGACCCCATTATACAGACTGTAAAATGGAGCTGGCATTTTGATGGTTGCCTGAGGCTTAGAAGAGCTATGGGGGTGGGGGGAGGACATGTTCCTGAGATTGCTGAGTCCCAGAATGGTGTGGAGAAGCCATCTGTGGCTGCTTTTCTGTAGCGTGTCATGCCATGCATTCTGTGGTAGAATCACTGGTCAGGCATGCATGGCAGCAGAAGTGACAGGAAACATTAATTTGGAGCTGAGATATATTGAGCCTTTGCCTTCATATAAAGACCTACTTTCTACACATAAGTGAAGTAGGGAAAGAAGTGCTTGAGGAATCACAAACAGTTTTTGTTGTTGTACAAGAGGCTGGGGAAGGGCGTGCTAGATGCAGTGGGTGGTTCAGTGGGCCCCGAGGCAGACCAACCCAGGTACGGGGTCTCTAGAGCTGCTCCTGAACTCATAGCCAGTGTTAGCCAAATGGCCCAGGTGGGCCTTTTAGGGCACGACATCCATCTGCCTAGGTGTTCATGCTCCTAAACCTTTTATTCCAGCTCATGATGTTAAAGCTTTCCCTTATTTCCTTCCTTTCCCTGGAAATTACCTCTCCCACCAGGGTTAGTGGCCAATTTCCCCTTTGCTCCCTGTTGGAAAGTTGGCAGTGAAGGTTACACTCGCTACCCACTACGACCCCAGCAGCCTGGAAGCCATGCCATGTTCTCTTCCCATCTAGGTACTAACTAGGCCAACCTGATTAGCTTTGGGGAACAAATCATTTGGGGACATTTAGCCTGGTGTGGCACTGAGACCACTCTGCCTGGTGTGGAGCAAAGGCCTAGATCTTAGAGTGGTTGCTGCCTGTTCAGGAATGGCAGAGCACTGCTGGAGCTGGCCTTAGGCAAGGGTAGGTGCTCCAGAATAGGGCACATGCTCCAGAGTGGGAACAGGAGGCACCTGGAAAGCACCCTCCAGCACCGAGTGGCTGCTGCAGCTCTGTGAGACCACATGGAAACCATGTACTTCCTTCCTGACAGTTTCACTCAAGAGCATCCATAATGGGAGGACAGTGGGATTGGGGTCCTGTGTTGGGATACTGGCTGCACAGCTGTTCCAGAGACAAAGATGAGGTTGTGAGGCATCGGCTGAGAACTCAGTGCTCTCCAAACTCCCGGCTCCTGCTCTGTCCCCGGCCACTGTAGTGTACCCCATGCTTTCTTGTGCTCCGGGCCTGCTTAGGGTTGTAGCCTTCCTTGGTGCACAGCCTGAGTTGTGCTTAGCCCCAAATCACATTGATCTGATAGCTCATGCTTTGGTTATTGATCTGTTTTGCTACTCTAGTATGAGTTCTTGGAGTGCTGAAACTAGACCTGATCCACTTGTGCCTCCATTGCTGTGAGGGTCTAGGGCCATGTGCCCTCCATAAAACAAGGACTATTGCCAAAGAGGTCTCTGTGTCTCCTCCAAAGCTCCTGTCCTATTGATTTGGCCTTTAAGCCACAAAAAAAAAAAAAAAAAAAAAGACCTATGTTTGGGAGGGATTGTACCCATGCTGTAAGGCATGTTGGACAGAGGACAGCTTGTGGGATTCAGTTCTCTAACTGTACCTCCCAGGGATTGAAGGCTTAGTGGTAAGTGCCCTTATTGGATGAGCTATCTCGATGGCCTCTGATTTGTCCTTTTGAGTGAGTAAAGTTTCTTTGAAAACTCCACGTTTCCTCGGTGTTGCACTGACTCCATACCAGCTGTAACTAGGTACAGGGTGAGGCCACACCTCCCTGACAGTAGTCACTTTTGAGATAGCAGTGGAATTGGCCTACTCAGACACTCTCTCATTAATAAATGTGTAAGCAGTGGTCTCCCACCTTGCTGGGTCCACCCAGGGAGCTCCTCCAGCGGAGTTTGTTTCTCAAATGCACAAGAATTTCTTAAGAACCTTAGTACGATCAGGTGCAGTGACATGCGCCCACAGTCTCAGTACTCTTTAGTCAGAAACAGGAGGGTGAGGAGTTCTGTGCCAGCCTGGACTATGTGAGGCTGCCTCAAACAAGCAAACAGCTCAGCGTGATGACCCCTGCCTATAATCCCCATACCTAAGAGACTGAGACAGGGGCCTGAGAGTTGGAGGCCCCCCTGGATTAGCCTAGTAAGTCCATGGCTGTGATACCAAGGCCTGGGGCTATGTAATTGAGACCTTGTCCCAAAAAACAGAAATCAAAAAACATCTAGACAAAACCTCTGACCTGTAGATGTGCATTTATGTGTGAGCACATGTTTGTATGGTGCTGGACTGCAGAGAGAAGGCTTCGGCTTGGACAGGTCCGTAGCTCCACACACATCAGCCTTCTGACAGTGCCTCACTTTGTTGACACTTTGTCCTGAGCATGGTTCAAGTAGAGGCAGGGGGATGGATGTTCCTCTCCTGTGGCTTCTAGAGTCTGGCGCAGCCTGTGAGCTTGCTGCGGTCCCTGGCCTTGTACAGTCTTTTGTGGTTGTTGCCGTGGGGAAAACAGAGAAATACCCATTTTGCTAAGCGCCAGTAAAGGGCTTTGTCTTGCACCTGTACTTATAAAGGGTGAGATTTATTGCCCTCTTTGTGTGAGGAGAAAGAGTGGGCCTGATTATCAGATTGCACACCAGAGACAAGTGCTTATGTAATCAACAAACTGTCTTGGTGTCAGAATACGATTGTGTTGGAGATAAACTGTGAAAGGAGAACATGGCCACTGACATGCTGTTGGCACTGAGTTTCCTGGGCTGCTTCCTGGGGTTGCTACTGTTTCTGATGAAGCCAGCTCATCCCTGAACAAAGCCCCCGTGTAGCTAGGGGGCATTGGGAACCAGCAGTGTTATCAGTCAGGTCAAAAGTCCCTTCCTGTGGTTTCCGAGTCTGGGGAAGTGGGAGTTAATCTGTAATCCCTCGGTGAAAGGAGCCAGAGAGCACACATTAATTCTTCCTCCCACCTCCTACCTTAAGTGGTTAAGGCTTCTGAGCCCCATTTAGCCTTGTGAGCCCTGATTCTCAGCTTAACAAATACTTGGCTTTGCTCTAGTACCTTCATTGTGAGGATATGAGACCCTTTTGCAGACATATATCAGTCTAAGTGGGATGGGCTTAAAACTTCAGCATGAAGGATTTAAGTTAGGCCTAAAATAGAAGTTCCCAGTTAATTTTATACAGTTGTCTTTCCCTCACTGTTTACATCCTGGTAGTGTATCAAGTACAGGGACTAACTTTCTCAGTTTTAGCCCCCTTCAGTCACTATACTGGTAGAGCTGGTCAGATGTGGCTTATTCTTTGGGTGATAAATCTATCCCTCCAAGAACTCCCTCAGTCTCTTAAGGGCTAGAAGGCCTCCCAGAAAGGCTGTATCTAGTTTAAGCCTCTGTCTCTGAGGAACTTAGTATTGAGCTACACTGGCTGGTTACCAGTGGAAATGCTTGTCATCTAGGAAGCATGTTGAGCACAGTTGACCTCCATGCCAAGCCTGTAAAGCCTGGTTGCTGAGCTGGAGCCCAGTCCTCGTGTGGGGAGAGGTGGGTCTGACCGCTTTCCAGCAGGATACCTGGTCTTTGGTCTGTCCCTTCCTTCTTTTCCTTCCTTCCTTCCTTCCTTCCTTCCTTCCTTCCTTCCTTCCTTCCTTCCTTTCTTCTTGTCTTTCATTTGTTCGTTCTTTCATTTGTTTGTTTTTTCTTTTTTCCTTTCTTTCTTCCTTGTGGTGCTAAAGTTTGAACTTGAGTGTGCTGAGCAAGTGCTGTGCCACTAAACTGCAGGTGTAGTGTGTTTCTTACCTACTTGTGATTTTCCCAGGGCCAAGGGTTACATACGTGCTGACCTGAGTCTGGTGAGACGAGGGATGATTCTTGTTCTGTGCCCTTTTCTGCGCATGTCAGACTTTCTGAAGCTCTTCAGTGTTAGGCTTAACTGAATTACCCCAGGCAGGACCCAGAGAAGTGGGCCTGGCCTTCCCTAGGTCTCATACTAGATGGAGACTGATGTTTGGGCCCTGGAGCTTTCCAAGAATTGGGAGTGCCTTTGGGCCTTTCTCACCACAGCCCTGATCCTTCCTTACCCATCCCTGTAATTTAGCAGGAAGGAAGGAGTGAGGCTAGGATGAGCAGCTGTAGTGCCTGGCTGTCAGTCTGACTTCCGGAAGGTGTACCTGGATTTGAGAATGAGAGTCTACCCTGACTCTTGGTCCCTATATGCCTGACAGAAAATACCAGGCACCTGCCTACCTGCTCCCTGTGTGGCTCTGAGCTTGGAGGGGCTCTGGGTGCTAGCCCGGTTGGGCATAGGAGGGCACTGTGGTGAAGAGGGCAAATTCCAAGAAGGCAGGACTTTAATGTTCCTATGTAAGCCCCTGCTTCTCTGGCACATAGTAGGTTCTGGGAGAATGAACAAGAGGAGTTCTCTGTTCTCAAGTGAAAACCTCTCTCCCATGCAGGGTGCCTCGCCCTCCCTCCATGCTTTAGCAGGAGACCAGTCTTTTCTTCTGGTTGACTCAGGCCCTCCCTCTGCTGGGCAGTTCTTTGGTCTCCCAAGCAAGGAAAGGGTGTGGAGGTGCCAGCCGGGTGGGCATGCTGTGGGTTAAAGCCTTGCGAAACAACAGTGTAGTTAATCTTTCTAATTTATTTTCCTTTTAGACCATGGGAAGTCTGTAGGCAGCAGCTGTTACCCAATTAAAATACAGATTAATATAAAAACAGTTTCTGGAATATAAAATAGAGTGGCTGTGTCCTTACACTTCCTTAAAATACCACCTAATAATGACTTGATGAACTACAGAAACCCACCTAGAGGAACTCAGCATTCTTAAAATGAAAATTTCTTCCCTAAAAGGTGTGTATTACCATTCCATGTAAGTCACTATGAGAAAATAACCTTCCCTCTTAGAGCCGGCACTCTCTGTGAGTTGGGTATTTGGTATTCATTAAATGTAATTATAGTTTAATTGGAGTTTTAAACCCCTTCCCCCACTTCAACAAAAAAGTTGTTTCCAAGCCAGCCGACATACTCTTCTTTGTGAGAATAGCCAGTGACAGGAAAACATTGCGATTTCTAGCTAGTGTCTGGGACAGGGCCTCAGGACGCAAACACTGTTAGGAACACTATGCCTACTCTGTGTTTAAAGGAGATTTTTACGTTAGACAAAGTAAAACAAGTTTGCTTAAAGCTAGGCCTGACGTGGGCAGAGCCTATGCCTGTGAGCCAGTCTCTTGGCCAGAGTGTATACATAAGGCCTCTGGTCTCTGTCTCCCCATTGCTCAGAGGTGGCCTTCTAGCTTACCTAGACTGTGGAGGACTGAGGTATGCAGGTTTCTGAGGAGCTTCTCTGTGTTTTACCTGATTAATATAAAAAACAGTTTCTGGAATATAAACTACCATGGCTGTGTCCTTATACCTCTTTAAAAGTGTAAGTGGGGAAGTTTTGGATGGACAGAGGTGCATCAAAACCAAGTGTGCCCAGCTGGAGCCTGCACTCACCAGACTCCACAGGAACTTCTGAAAAGATGGAGTCTAATGTACCTTAAGACTAACTTGTGGGAACTTAAAGAACCTGTCGAATACAAAAGACTTGTAAAATTAAAAGAAAAAGAATTTCCCAAATAAAAGTTTAAACAAGCATGGAGCCTGCCCTGTTGTTAGCATCTGTATGCAAGCCCATTTCAGGCTAATGGCTGCTGGGGAGGTTCATACAGCATCCTAGGACATGATTCCCAAGCTCCTGGCCTGGCTCTGAGCTTGAAGCAGTGGCCCCGGCCCTCACATTGGGAGGAGGAATGGAATGGACTGTCCAGCATGAGTCCCTTGTGCCTTGGTTTTCTAACCAAAGGCTGTTTCTCTTTCCTTACAGCTCACCGGGATCATTCAAGCCATGGTGGATGGCCAGCCAAGCCTGCAGCAAGTACTGGAGGTAGGTTGAATGACCTTTAATTCTTGACCCCTGACCTCTTCCTGCTGCCTTTCTTTTCCTTCCCTCCTGAGAATGTAGCCGTATAATTTGACTATGATTATGGCTTGATTAGAATAACATTTGCTGTCACATCAGTGACATGCTGTTGAGAGTATTGAACCATTGATCTGTCATCTCCAGCTGTTCCTGTCAGGGTTACTGACAAGATGTCCATGTGCTGCCAGGAGTCGGGCAGAGCCCCCTCACCCCTCCTCACCTGGCCTGTGGCCCTGTGCTGGGAGCTGGGAGGCCTGTGCTGGGTGGGCTGGGGCAGGGGAGCTGCTTTCCAGCCTTATGGGATTAGCCCCAGGGATTGGAGGTGTTTTTGTTTAGCTTTGGTGTTGGCTTCTTGTGGCATGTGAGCACTTCATTAACTCACCCAGAACTCCCCATCGATGGCTTTTGTTTGCTGCCAGCTCCTGGAGGAGCTGCAGTCAGCTGCCTGCCCCACTGCAGCTTGCCGCTGGATGCAATGTGCCTGTCGGGTGCAGAGGCTGCACTGGGTAATGATTCCTAATCAGAATAATTACAACAATTGCCTATGTGAGGGAAATCAAATTAAAGACTTTAGAACTCTTGGCAGAGACCACAGTTCTTGGATATTCTCCTCAGGGAACTGGGAAAGGTTAAGGCGCTTCTTCCTGTGCTCTGGCTAGAGGGAATAAGGAAGAGGCTGTGCTTGGTCCGTCCCAGCCTACCCCCTCCATCCCTTCAGCCTCAGGGTTTTCTGAGGAAAAAGGTTCCTTGCCAGCGCTGCTCTGTGGAGGAGGGCAGACAAGAACAAGACTGCGGATTTCATTAGGTGCTTTATTTGTTTTTAAGCCTCATAAATCCAAAGCTTGGACCTTATCATTGTTCAGGAGGAATATCAAGGAACAATTGCATAGGAGGTAGACAGCGAAGAAGTGGAGTTGTGGCATTCAAAGAGAGACATCTCCCCTTAGCCATGAATCCTGTCCCCTGAGAGAGAGTCATGACCTAAACGTCCTGAACCCATCAGGATAAAACAGGCCCGAGAGGCAGGCTTAGTTCACCTCGGTGGTAGTGGATACTCTGTCCCTGGAGTGTAGAGGTCCAGGCATGTCAGCTGAGTTTTGGCCATGGTGAGAGCACTTTCAGTAGATGGCAGAAGGTAAGGTAAGGTACTTCTTTTTCTTCTTTGCCCTGCTGCCCTTTTGAGAGGTGTTAAGTCTGTTGCTAGGACTGAGGGAGCTCCTCAGTAGAGTTGCTTTTTGCCAGAAGCAACCCCAACCAGCCTTGCTCTGTGGGAGGATAGAGTACTAACAGCATTTCCCAGGAATGTCCTGGCAGAATGCTTGTTCTGGGTCAGCTGCAAACTGGGGCCATTAAAGTAATGGTCAGGTTGAGGGGGATAGGTTCACAAGACACCTTCCTGACAAGCTCAGGCCACCCCTGGAGTGGGGTGCTTAGAATGTTCTGAACGTCATCCACTTCTGGTACTTTGTAGGTGAGGGGGAAGATGTCCCAACCAAGGCAGCCAGCAAGATGCTTGCCTGACTTGTTTATTCTGAGTAGAGCTCAGGCTGGGCTTGCTACACTGCCAGTGATGGGAAGGGCTGCCTGACAGATTGGAGTTGTGTTGTGGTTCCTACTGCTTTTCTTCATTTAGGCAGGGCGGGGGAGGTCAGGCCTAAGTATCTGTGCAGGCTTACAGTGAAATATGCTCTTCTGCTACACGGTGGAGTATTAAGTGCCTCTTGGGGCAAAGACATGGTCATGTTGGCTGAGACCTTTTGCCAGTCCTGTTCTGTCCTTTCCCCCTGTGAGTTGAGGTGTTGGGATCCCTCCATGTGGGACACTTACTTGAGCATATAGAGCTAGCCAGCTAAAGCAGGGTTTTGTGGCTTTAGAAAGCTCTGGGTTGGTGTTATCTTTTCTCTTGAATGAAGTCTGTCTTTTCTTTAGGTTACCTTGGGTAAAAGATGTAATGGTGTGTGTCTGCACATGTGTGCACATGTGCACAAGGGATTAAGCCAGAGCTGAGGGAGACAGCATTTAGCAGTGGAATCCCCAGCCTCACTGCTTAGGAGGTTCCTGAGCTGGGAAGATACAGACTGTGAACAGAGTGTAGACTGTGTGCTCTACACAATGTGTACCAGAGAGCAGCACTCACATTCTGGTTATTGGCCTCTCATGGAACTAGAGGGGGTCCTTGGTCTTATTGCTGGATGCCTCTAGCATCTCAGAAGTGCCAGGAATCTAGCTACAACAGCTAGATGGGAAATTCTTCCTTGGAGCCCAAATGTGCTCTTGAGCATTGCTGAGCACACAGCTCCTCTGCAGTGTGGTCTAACTGGACTTCCCGTCTTTTCTGCACTGTATGCTCTGCTCTCACTAAACTTGCATCTATCTGTTAATGTTTTTGGTCATCAAGTATCTATTATTTTGAGATAGGATCTGCTATATAACTCAGGCTGATTTTGAACTGTCTGTGTAGCCCAGACTAGCCTCTAACTTGTGATCCTTAACTTCCAGCTTCCCAAATACTAGTATTACAGGTGTGTGCTATCATGCCTGGCAACACATTTGTACCAAATAAAATACTGGGTCAGGACAGTGAATAAAGCAGAACTCCTACACTCTTACAGCCTACCAGGGAAGACAGACTATAACGAACAGTCACTTCTTTAACACAGTCTGTTACACCATGCCCGCTGTTGCCAGGAGTATTCTCTCCTCTTGGTCCTGTAGCACTCCAGTCACTTCTTTCCCCCTTTCTCTCCTGTGTATCATGGGGAGCTGTTGGACACATTTAATTCTCAGAACAACTCAGTAAGGATTTTCATCCTACCCTGTTGTATAGGTGAAGGAAACTGAGGTTCAGTGGTGTTAAATGACTTTTAAATGACTTCCAGTCAGCAACGTAGCCAGGATAAGGAAAGAGCCAAGGGCTGGAACCTGGATGTGTCTCACTTTCAATTCTAACTACTGTGTGATAGAGACTTAAAAAATAATCCTCCTGTGCAAGTGGAAGCCATGGTATGATTGGCTGCACTCCCTCCCTGTGCCTGGGATCTTCAGAAAAGTAGGCAATGCTTCATGAATTCTTTATGCTAATTCTCTTGTTTTATACCGATGTTCGTGTTTGTACTCCAGTGTAAGTGCAAACAGTAAAGCCAGCTGGAGGCATGAAGAGGACGACTAGGTGTGCTTGGGAATGATTTCTTTCCTGTGTAGTACTTGAGCTCAGTCCTCAAAATACTCTGCTGAATTTGAACCCCTGGCTAAGAAAAGGAGAAATGCAACTTGGAGTCTGTCCCTAAGCTTTTAGCAACTAGAGCAAGCAGCATTGCCTCACTGGGAGGGACTCCAGGCATCAGTGGGACCTCCTTTGAAGGGAGACGGGTTTCATCTTCACTTGGTGAATCACTAGGTTCATAAACACAGTAAGCACTTACTGTAAGCGTCAAAAAGCGCAAGTATGAACAAGGCTACAGGTTAGATCCTGCTCGTGGCTTTCTGGGGCCTGTTCCTAGGGCTCAGGATCACCTGTGTCTGCCCTGGGCTGTGCCTTTGTGTGACACCCAAGGATAGAGACCATCAAGTCAGAGAAGGGTGTTTGGCCTGCCAGTTGGGATCACAGACAGGCTGTCACACAGCGACGGATTGAGAAGGTCCCTCTCCCACCACACACAGACTTGTGTTTTCCCAAAGGGATCATTCATTCTTCAAGAACCTCTGTAGTCTGGAGCCAAGGCTGAGGGTGTAGAGCACAGCAGAGCACAGCTGGGTGAAATTACCATTCCTCCTGCTCTGGTTACAAGCTGCTTCGCTGTGTGTCACTTTTGGGCTGTTCACAGGCTGAGGAAAAAGGACAATCTCATCTGTTCTTGTGTACTTTCCAGAGGGTCGATGAGTGGATGGCGAAGGAAGGCCTCTTAGATCCAAACGTCAAGTCAATTTTTGTCACCTGTGGAGACTGGGACTTGAAAGTCATGTGAGTATGCAGAGGTGTTTTTTTTTTTTTTTTTTTTTTTTTTCTGCAGGGCTTGGCGTCTAAGGGACCAGGCTTTGCCTTGTAGGGCTTAAATGTTCAAGCCTGCTGGGCAGCAGGGGTCCCTGGTTCTTTGAGGCCATCAGGGCTAGAGGAAGACTGGGAGCTATGGCTTCTAGGCATGTCTGGAACAGGGTAGGGACAAGTTAGTGGCCCCAACTGCTGTTGTTGAGCCTTCCTGCCTTTGATAAGTCCTGCCGCTAACAGCAGCTCTTCTGATTGCTGCCCTGTGTGTTATTGACCCAGAAGGAAGGCATTAAAAGAGGGTCTTGAAGAAAAAAAAATCTTTTAAACAGAATACACAGTATTTACTATTCAGAGTGTTCCAAAATAAGAACTCATTCATTAATCCTGTAAAGTAGGTACTGTTCTTACTTCTATTTTATAACTAAAGAAATTAAGGCACAGAGAAGTTAAGTAACTTACCCCAGGCCACACAGCCAGGATTTGGACTCAGCATTTGGCTCCAGGGTCCTTTCTCTTAACTATTACTATGTTGCCCTATTATCTGGGATGCAAGACCCCAGTAATCATCTGAGAGCCTGGTGTCTGATGAGAGAGGGCTACTTCTGGGAAGCTGCCCAGTCTCTCTTCCTTTGTGCCCCCTGCTTCTTCTCCTTTGTCTTCTGGTTGTAGAAGACAAAACAGGTTCCTTTGATGGGCTGACACTTGTGCGTCTTGTCTGTCCTTACGGATACCTGGCTTCAGACAGTCCCTGGGGACTAAAGGGGGTGGGGGCGCTGTTTGCTGAGGAGGTGATAGAATCGATACCACTGTGTTCTTTGTGACTGAAGCAGCAGCATTCTCTCTCCCCGCCCCCCTCAGTGTGTCTGTGTGTGTGTTGGTGGGGATGAGGCCTAGTGACTGCAGTAGTTATTCCTGCCAAATCGGGTAGTATCTTCTCACCAGGCTCCCTTGTATGTTTTTATATCCTGGTCATGGAGGTGAGCGTAGGTCCCCAGCTGGGAGATAAGCTGCTGTTGGACCTTAACTCTGTGGGGGGAGTCAGGAAGAGTGATCTCCAGAACACATGAACACACAGCACTCACGTGTCCCATATTTTAGGCTGTGTACTAGCTGTATACTTCTCAGTTTGCTCCAGAGGGTCTCTGTTCTTTCACATGACAGGGGAATTATATGGGCTGGGTCTGGAAGTCTGGAAGCAGATGTGAATCAGAAGCATCAATAGAAAAGATGAGAGGGTGAGGGTGTTTTGTTGTTGTTGTTGTTTTAGACCAGGCCATGTATATTACTAACCCAGGCTGGCCTTGAACTTACTATATATGATGACTACTGATTCTCTTGTGTTCACTGTTCAAGTATTGGGATTATAGGCGTGTTCTACCATAGCTGGTATATGTGGTGCTGGCGACTGGCCCCAGGGCTTTGTGCATGCTAGGCAAGCATGCTACCAACTGAGCTACATCCCTCGCCTAGAAAGGCTGTTCTTATTTGTATATTTTGTGTAGCTCTGAAGCCTGGAGAGTCTTATGTGGGGACTTCACAGCCCAGGAAAAACCATTCAGAGGCCTTCTGGCTGATAACCCAGATTCTGGGCTCACATGGCCCAAATGGAAGATGCCAGGTTCAGGGGCTCAGTTCCCTCAGGAAACCATTCCAAGACTCTGGCTCTTTCAGTGTTTTCCTCACAAGTGTCTTCATCCTCTTAGAGCTGGTGCTTCTGAGCCTTCTGCTGTCACTTGTGAATTGTGTGCACATGCATGCATCAGAGAACTTGATATGCATGGGACTAGAGACCATGCTGCTGGGCCTTCTCAGTCTGGAGTTGCCCCATGAGATGGAGAGGCACTTTTAGAGGGCATTGCACTCTTTGGTGAAGCCTCTTTTGGCCTGTGCTTCACTGCCATTTGTGTCTTCATGAGAAACAATGCCTGGATTGGGTTGCAGAATCCAAGTGTGTATGTCATTTGGTTCTAACCATCATCTCTGGTAGGAGGCGATGTCTCCCTTTTATAAATAGCAAACAGATAAAACAAAGCAGAACACTCTGGGCTTCACAGAGGTAAAGACTCAACCAAACAGAAAGGAATCCTAACACTTAACAGTTTGTGCTGATTTGAGTTTGGTGAGGAAGTCAGGGGCCTCTGGAGACAGGTGTGCCAGAGGCAGCTGCTGCTGGGTAACAGGGTGGGGGAAGAGGGCCTTGTGACTGCCGTGGAGAAGCAGGACTCCACTTAACTGCTGGGAAAGCTCTTAATTAAATGTGTAACAAAATAGAAGCAGCCAGAGAGAAAAGGTGAGTAGTGCAGCGTGACTGTGCACTGCTTGCTGGTGTCTGGAACCTGGTGGCGGCTTCAGAGGCTCTCAGCCAAGCCGCCCTGAGCTGTGCGCCTGCCAAAGGCTGCTGCTGAGCCTGACAAGGGTGTGTTAAATTGACACTCAGAACTTGTTAGTATGTGGCTGACTTCGTATTTTGACATCCATTTCCAGATTTAACTAAGTCTAAGGAATTCAGCAAATGTTTTCATTTCACACACTCGTTTCGGGAGCCAAGGGCCCTTCTCCTTGCTGTTGTTATCCCAGCCCCAAAGCTGCCTCACACAACTGTTGTTGGAAAAGGCCTGATTAGTGCAGCACTGAGAAATGGGAACTGAAGTGGCAGGAGAAATCCCACTGGAGCAAAGAAATCTGCTCTTGTCCTGACAAAACCGTTTTGTGTCCATCTTTCTTCAGATGTGGATGAGCTGATGCCCGGGGTTTGTAGGGCTTGAGGCTGTAGCCACAGACACTGTTAAGGTGAGCTTTAGTGTAGTGGGCGTGGTTTTAATTCTCCTCTTTTTTGCTTTTTTGTTTTTTGAGACAGGTGTGTGTGTGTGTGTGTGTGTGTGTGTGTGTGTGTGTGTGTGTGTGTGTGTAGCCCTGACTGTCCTGGAACGCCTCTGTAGACTGGCTGGCCTCAAATTCAAAGATCTGTCTCCCTCTGCTTCCCGAGTGCTGGGATTAAAGGTGTGCACTACCACCTGCCAGCTTTAATATTCTTCTACACTTTTTAAGAGAAAAGATAAATAATACAGTTTAGTTTAACTCCCCGCTCTTCCCCGACAAATCTTTCCTCATCTTGTCTGTTGTTCCTTGAAGCTCTCCAAGGGGTTTCTTGTTCCTCTGCTTGGTCAGTTGGAGAGTGTCCATCTTTGTGGTGGTAGGCAGATAGGGTTGTGGATGGTAGGGAGTGTGACCATTTGAAGAACTTGATTTCTAGCCTGCGGTCTGAAGCTCCAGGCTTAGCCACTGAACAGTGTGTGTCTGAGCAGTACACCAAACACTTCTAGGTGGAGTTTTGGTCTAAGGAGAGGAGCAAATGAAGGAGGAAAGGGAGGAGGGAGGCATGGGTCCTCCGTGCAATTGGCAAAGAGGCTCTTTTTGGATAATCGGGTCCTATCCTGAGTGCAAGAAGGCCTGGGGCCTGCTCAGAGTTGGTTCAGGGGACCCTCATGGATGCTCTACAGCTACATGTAAGGGCAGTGCTGGCATTGGTCTTCAGTTCTCTCCATGGCTTCTGGGGTGTCGATGCTGTACCCCGTGTCTGTACTTTGCAGGGGTGGACCTGACAAGGGTGGTTAAACTGGAGGTTTAAGCAAGTCTGAAGACCATCTGGGCTTTGCTCACTCTACTCTGCTCACTGCTGGTGTGGTGAGTGTGCGCTGGGCTATAGTCAAGTTGAAGAGTAAGACTGCTGGTATGTGGAGTATGGTGCAGTGATAGACATGCATAGAGAGCATTGTGGGTAGAGGATGCTGGCTGTGGGTCAGGCTGGCTCCTCTATGTTCATTCAGTAGAGCTAGTCACTTTATTTTGAAACAGTCTTTAACTTTGTATCTTCTGATTCTTGGCTTCTCTCTCTAGTCACTTTTGCAGTTCACTCATTCCTTAGTTTTTTGTAAATGTTGGTGTTTTTTTGTTTTTGAGGCAGGGTTCGTCTACATAGCTGAGGCTGTCCTAGAACTTACCATGTAGATCAGGCTGGTCTTGAACTCACAGAGATCTATCTGCCTGCCTTTGCCTTCCAAGTGCTGGGATTAGAGGTATGCTCCACAGTGTTGGTGTTTCTAAAATACTGGTGTTGCTTTGATCCTTGTCCTGTCTTTCACTTTCCTTCATTTTTGCTCTCAATGGATCGATCTTGTCTTTTGCTAGAGCTTCACCTGTTTGTGTGCTAAGGTCTCCAGTCCTTTTTTTCCAAGAGAAATTACAACCAACATGATCCTGTTGGAGACAAAAGATGTGCTCCATCAGCTGCTTGAAGGACAAGTCTTTTACCAGATGCTGCCTATACTTCCACAGGCCTTGCTTTCCTTCCTACACGCCCTCCCCTGGTGCCATCACTCAGCTACCTTGTCAGAAACCTGAGAACCCCCCCTTTGCCTAGCCACAACTAGTTAATCTACAAATCCTGCTGACCATATTTCCCCAGGGTTTCTCCAGGTGATCTTTTCTCCTAGGTGCTGACTCCAATCAGGTCACATTCTGCCTTATGCTGTCAAGGCACCCCTATCCTCAAGGTCAAGTCTATACTGTCCAGGACCTTCAAGGCTCTTGCTTGCTTCTCTAAGTACTGCACACAGTCCCACTTTAATGGAGTTCAATTTGCAGCTGTCTCTACTTGTCTGTTTCTTTTCTAGATTGTGAACACTATTGTAATCCTCAGACAAACCTTGATGTAGTAGTTGTTTGGTAAATATTTAGAATTTGGGGAGGAGGGGGTGCTGGGGACTGTCCTAAGACCTCCTATACGATAAGCACGCAGTTGGTCACTAACTATGCCACCTTGCCACAATAGTTTGTTAAATGTAGGGCAGTTGAGTGGCCCTGTAGAATTCCTGCTCTGGAAGAGTGCTGGGTGCTGGGTCAGCCTGGGCCAGGGAGAAGAAGCTAGTTCTTGGGCACATGTGAAGTACTCTATCAGAAGTTTGTGCCTCTGGGAC